AGCCAAACTAACTAAAAAGCAGAGAGAAACTATCCAAATCAGCAAAATCAGAAATGAAAATGGGGACATAACTACAGATACTGTGGAAATCCAAACAATTATTAGGTCATACTACAAAAACCTATATGGCACAAAATTTGAAAATCTAAATGAAATGGATAATTTTCTTGACAGATTCCATCTACCAAAATTAAGCCAAGATCAGGTAGAAAGACTGAATAGCCCTATATCTCCCAAGGAAATTGAAGCAGTCATTAACAGTTTCCCCTCCAAAAAAAGCCCTGGACCAGATGGCTTCAGCGCAGAATTCTACAAGACCTTCAAAGAAGAGCTAACACCAATTCTCCTCAAACTCTTCCACAAAATAGAAACAGAAGGAACACTACCAAACTCATTCTATGAAGCCACAGTCACCTTGATACCTAAACCACACAAAGATCCAACAAAAAAAAGAGAACTTCAGACCTATCTCTCTTATGAATATTGATGCAAAAATACTCAATAAAATACTTGCAAACCAAATCCAAGAACACATCAAAGATATCATCCACCATGACCAAGTAGGCTTCATCCCAGGCATGCAAGGGTGGTTCAATATACGGAAATCCATCAATGTAATCCACCACATAAACAAAATGAAGGAGAAAAACCACATGATCATCTCCTTAGATGCTGAAAAAGCATTTGACAAAGTCCAACACCCATTCATGTTTAAAGTCTTGGAGAGATCAGGAATACAAGGCACATATCTAAACATAGTAAAGGCAATATACAGCAAGCCTATAGCCAACATCAAACTCAATGGAGAGAAACTTAAATCAATCCCACTGAAATCAGGGACAAGACAAGGCTGCCCACTGTCTCCATATCTCTTCAACATAGTACTTGAAGTCCTAGCCAGAGCAATAAGACAACTAAAGGAGATCAAGGGGATACAAATCGGAAAGGAAGAGGTCAAAGTGTCACTATTTGCAGATGATATGATAGTATACATGAGCGACCCTAAAAATTCAACCATAGAACTCCTTCAGCTGATAAACACCTTCAGCAAAGTGGCAGGATACAAAAATCAACTCAAAAAAATCAGAAGCCCTCCTGTACACAAAGACAAAAAGGCTGAGAAAGAAATTAGGGAAACAACACCCTTCACAATAGCCACTAATAACATAAAGTACCTTGGTGTGACTCTAACCAAGGAAGTGAAAGACCTGTTTGAGAAAAACTTCAAACCTCTGAAGAAAGAATTTGAAGAAGATCTCAGAAGATGGAAAGATCTCCCGTGCTCATGGATTGGTAGGATTAACATTGTGAAAATGGCCATCCTGCCAAAAGCAATCTACAGATTCAATGCAATTCCCATCAAAATACCAACTCAATTCTTTACAGACCTTGAAAAAAAGATTCTCAGCTTCATATGGAGAAACAAAACACCCAGAATCTCCAAAACGATCCTGTACAACAACAGATCATCTGGAGGTATCTCCATTCCTGATCTCAAGCTGTACTACAGGGCAACAGTAATAAAAACTGCATGGTATTGGCATAGAAACAGAAAGGAGGATCAATGGAACCGCATAGAAGAGCCAGAAATAAACCCACACACCTATGAATACTCGGTATTTGACAAAGAAGCCAAATCCATTCAATGGAAAAAAGACAGTATATTCAACAAATGGTGCTGGTCCAACTGGATGTCTACATGCAGAAAAATGAAAATAGATCCATATCTATCACCCTGCACAAAACTAAAGTCAAAGTGGATCAAGGACCTCAACATAAAACCAGATACTCTAAATCAGTTGGAAAAAAAAAAAGTGGGGAACAGCCTAGAACTCATTGGCACAGGAGACAAGTTCCTGAACAGAACACCAACAGCACAGGCTCTAAGAGCAACAATCAATAAATGGGACCTCATGAAACTGAAAAGCTTCTGTAAAGCAAAAGACACAGTCATCAAAACAAAACGCCTGCCTACAGATTGGGAAAGAATCTTCACCAACTCTTCTAAAGAACTAAAGAAGCAGAAAAGCAACAAACCAAGTAAACCCATTAAAAAATGGGGAATGGAGCTAAACAGAGAATTCTCGAAAGAGGAACATCAAATGGCAGAGAAACACTTAAAGAAATGCTCAACCTCATTAGCCATTAGGGAAATGCAAATCAAAACAACCCTGAGATTTCACCTTACACCCATCAGAATGGCCAAGATGAAAAACTCAAGTGACAACACATGCTGGAGAGGTTGTGGAGAAAAAGGAACCCTCCTCCATTGCTGGTGGGAATGTAAACTGGTAAAACCACTTTGGAAGTCAATCTGGCGCTTTCTCAGACAATTAGGAGTAGTGCTACCTCAAGACCCAGCTATACCACTCCTAGGTATATACCCAAAATTTGCTCAAGTACACAATGACGTTTGTTCAACCATGTTTGTAGCAGCTCTATTTGTAATAGCCAGAACTTGGAAACAACCCAGATGTCCATCAACAGAGGAATGGATACAGAAATTGTGGTATTTTTACACAACGGAATACTACTCAGCAATCAAAAAGGAGGAGATCATGAAATTTGCAGGCAAGTGGTGGGATCTAGAAACGATCATTCTGAGGGAAGTATCCCAGAAGGAGAAAGACAAACTTGGTATATACTTGCTTATATAGACTTACAAGATATGATAAACATAATGAAATCTACACACCTAGAGAAGATAATCAAGTAAGTGGACATGGGTGAAGATGATCAATCCTCCTTTAGAAAGACAAATGGGATGTGCATTGAATGTATGACAGGAGTCTACCGCAAAAGGCATCTGAAAGACTCTACCTTAGCAGTGTTTCAAAGCAGACACTAAGACTCATAACCAAACCATGGCAGAGTGCGGGGAATCACATGAAAGAAGGGGAGTTAGTATATGGAAAGGATAGGAGCTCTACAAGTACCAAATGTATCCGGGCACAGGGCCTTTTCTGAGACTGACACTCAACCAAGGACCATCTATGGATATAACCTAGAACTTCTGCTCGGATGTGGCCCGTGGTAGCTCAGTAACCAAGTAATTTTCCAAAGCAAGGGGAACAAGGACTATTTCTAACAGGATCTCAAGGGCAGGCTCTTTGTCCTCCCCCCTCCCAGGGGAGGAGCAGTCCTGTTAGGCCGCAGAGGAGGACTTTGCAGCCAGCCTTGAAGATACCTGATAAAACAGGGTCAAATGAAAGGGGAGGAGGTCCTCCCCTATCAGTGGACTTGGAAAGGGGCAGGGAGGAGACCAGGGATGGAGTTGGGGAGGGGGAGGGAATGAGGGAGCGGGATACAGCTGGGACACAGAGTTAAAAAATTGTAACTAAAAATAAAAAAAAATAAATAAAAATTTAAAAAAAAGGGAAAGAGTGGTAAATAGGTTCAAACAGCAACTAGGACTGCATGTAGATCAATGGCACAGTGCTTGACTAGCATAATCACAGCCCAAGGGTCAGCATCCAGTGCCATAAAATGCTCAAATAAAATAAAAGGTGACCAGAACAGTGGTATTATGAGAGAAAGTTTTTGTCTTAGATCAATCGGTCACTTCTTTTTATTTACTCATTCACTTAAGCTATAACCTCTTTGAAAAGTTTTTCACCTATATCTGAAAACCCACAGTAATGCAATCAATAAACAAGAACAGGTGAAGGAAAGATACCGAGCATGGAAAAAAAGAATAAAACCAGTGGGTTATTCGAGAAAACAGCAGGCGTGACACACAATCCCATTTGGATTTCCAACCTCCAAAGTAAACAGGAAATTATAATCTTTTACAAGATTTCCAGGGGCACCAAGAAACAGTCTCCAGCACAACAAAGGCATATGGGCTGACACATCCGTGAAATTTATCTTGTGTTTTTAATCAAGAGAGTAGACTGCCTGATGTAGGAGATGGCACACCCAATGCCACTTCTACAATAAATGCGATATAAAATGCTGAGTGACGATGCTATAATTTCCTTGGTTCACTCCAAAGCATAACTTCATAAACATTTCTGGAAAGGCGATTATGCAAACGGTCCAGCTAAGCCACTCCTAGACGGTCTGGCTTATCTAAGAGCAAAATTTGGCTAGTTGAGAGAACACCATATCCTTCCCAACCATCCTCAGGGAATACCATTTTCACAACAAATCAATCATACACGAGGTAGCTTTTCATAATCTAGTCATTAGGTACCAGAAGATAATCTGCCAAATAATTCCCACCTAGGAATTGCTGCCAATTAACTACATTTCCGAAGCCAGGCCGCTCCTGGTTAAATAAACTCTACTTATCCATATTTCCCACCGCTTCCTATTTTCTTCTCTGGAGTTACTTTGCTTTATAGAATGTGCGAGAATATTATTCTTAGGTATAGTTCCCCAGGTAGTTGTTAAGAGCAGATTTTGTTTATAGGGTAATTCTGAAAATTCTATAAACTTGGAGAGATTACAAGTGTGCCTTATTCTATTAACTCACTCAAAAAAAAAAAATCTGAATGCAAATTCCCAATACTCCAAGCTCCAAGTAATTTTACTTTCTTTTCTGGTGGGGAAAAGCAGTACCGATGGTTTAAAGAAGCAAAGAAGCAGTATCATTTATTTTTTATCTATCTATCTATCTATCTATCTATCTATCTATCTATCTATCTATCTATCTATCTATCTATCTACCTACCTACCTATTTATTTATTTAGTGGTGCTGGGAACTGAACTTTGGGCCTCACAGATGTTAGGCAAATGCTCTGCCACTCGCCTATGCAAGAAGCTGCATTTTGTCATTTTGTTATAGTGAATCATTCACCAGCTAAGAAACCTTAAACTAGGAAGGGGCCTATACATGGACAAAATAAAGACCGTCTTGAGATCTACCGTAGCCCACACGCCTTGAACTAGGGATCATCTGTCACAAGTTTATTCCAGGAATCAGTATGGTGAGTCTGCAGTGCCTGTTGTTCCTGTAGACCGAAGACAAGCGATGTTACTGGTAACAAAGTTTTACCTGAGGTCGGCAGCTTTCCCAGTTTTGTTCGCGCACAGCACGTCCCTCGTCTGGTATCCAATCTGGATGTCCCAGTATCTGTTCTCCTGTCTGTTTTGTCTGTTTCGGTTTCTCTTCTTCTTGATGAGCTCGCGGGCTTCTGGGTCCTTCATGGCTTTGCCTCTGTCTTTCACCCTCTCCTTGTTCTTGCCTCGACGCCTGGCTTGCCTGGCTTGTCGTGAGTGAGGCACAGAGCATGCGCTCCAGGGCCCTACCTGCAAGCTGTACAAGCTCTCCTCTGCCTCGCAGGGGCTGGACTGGCACACCTGGAACTCGGTGAGGTTGGGACAGCCAGAGCCGCCAAACTGTGGCGGTGCTACCACGTGCCTCGTGCGGTGCTGCAGGCCGCTGCCACAGGTCCTGGAGCACTCGGACCAGGGGGAGAACTCAGACACGATGCAGTCTTGCTGGCAAGGGATGAGGCAGGCCTGTTCCAGCAGGGGCTTGGGCTCAAAGTACTCACAGATGATGTCCTCGGCGGGAACGTCCTTGTCCTTCTGGATGCACGTTATCTCCCTCACTTGGATGCCTTCATCCCCCTTCACGCATTCTCGAGCTTTCTCCAGGCTTTTGGAAATCACAGGCTGGCACTGATTCCAGGGTCCCAGCCTCCAGTCGTACAGCTCTTTGTGCCAGTCACAAACTTTGAAGCAGTTCTGTTGGTTACTGGGTCTCGCAGCCTGCTTGCAGTTCGTATGTAATGTTGTCCAGCCTTCCACATGAGCACACCATACAGCCCGGGTCTGGATGCCGCCTGGTCCACAGTCGTCTCCCATGCACCGTCCCCAAGGACCTACAAAACAGCGCAAGAGTTAGTTAGCAGGGCCACAGAAGGCAAGCGACACGCCATTCCCATTTTAGATGTGTCTAGATTTAGTACATTAACTTCCCCGACATCTTTTAAAGTAGGTCTCTGTACGAGACGCCTGGAAAATAATGATGGTCCCCGAGTACTCCTACAAGAGGCAACTGTGTCAGGAGTCTATATAAGGTAACAGCTGGGGCAATTTCACTTCGGGTCCTTTTGGGATTACTAAAAGTTTGCTTTGATTCATTTCCTTTATTTCAGGTAATTGGAGACGGTTGCTCATAAAGGGCACGAGAAACTCGGAGAAACTCGGCACAGTGGAAACCCATTATTCTTGCCTCACGCCTTGAACTCTGCTTTAGTAAGTGGTAAAGAAAATAGCCCCTCGTGAAAGCCTTTTCCTCCAGGCTTTCTTTGCCTGGGCAATTAACTATTTTGCAGAAAACGCTCTCCCTCACCTGCTTTTTTATTGTTGCAGGGTATGACTGCAAAGGTCTAATAGTATGTTCAGTATTGCTGATAAAATTTAAAGTGATACTTTATGGTAACTAAAGCTGGAAATCAAAATTTTTTTTATGTGAAGGTACTTGCTGTAAATTAAAAAGAAACAAATTAAAAAAAAATACCTCAGTGAACTATAGAGATGAGCGAAGAAATTTATGATAAAAACAAAACTTCTCAATTGCCTGATCCTTTTGTTGAGCAATGACTCTGAATTCTTTCAAGTCATTCCTTTGTTAAATATGAATAACTTGGTGTTTTTTGGGACACGTGAGTCAATAGATTGAGTGTGAAAGGGAGCTTGTTATCCCGGAACATTTTTCAATGTAGAGGTAGGTCTTTCATTTCTTTCTTTTTTACTTCCTTTCCTTCCTGGTTATTTTTTAATAACCAGTTGCAAATAGATTCTTCTCTCGTATAATACATCCCAACCACAGTTTCCAGTTTGCCCTCCTTTCACTCCTCCGAGCCCCAACACCTGCCCTCTCCTCCAGATACACTACCCCTTCTTCTCTTCAAAAAGAAAGCAGGCCTCCCAGAGACAACAACCAAACACGACAAAAGAAGATACAATCTGACCAAGTGAGGCAGGACAAGGCACACAATCGGAGGAAAAGGGTCCCAAGAGCAGGCAGAGTCAGAGACACACCTGCTCCAACTGTGAGGAGACCGACAAAAACACGGAGCTAACAGCCATAACGTGTACTCAGGGGACCTGGCGCAGACCCGTGCAGGCCTCATGTTTGCCCCTTTGGTCTCTGGGAGCCCGTCTGAGCCCTGCTTAGCTGATTTGGTGAGCTGTGATCTCCTGGTGCCCTCCAGCCCCTCTGACTCCTCCAATATTTTAACTCCTTCAGGTTCCCAGAGCTTTGAGCTCAGCGGTCCAACGGGGACCTCTAATTTAGACTCTTTATTTGCAAAATGTCTGGCTGTGGCTTTCTGCACCCACTCCCATCTGCTACTAAAGGAAGCCTCTCTGATGACGACTGGACAACGCAACAAGAATATGTCTCTTGTCTACTTCTTTTTCTAAGGCAATTGATACTATTTTCAGGGTGATTACAAACTCGAGGGTATTAAATTAAGAGTACATTTTAGAATTGAGAATAAACACAAAGATCACATAAATACATGATTTTCAAAATGTCACTAAGATGGGTACCTATTTGATGACCCTTGATTGTCATCAACAAGTCCTAAGTAGGTGAGGTTCACATGATGATGATAGGGTTCCCTAAAACAGACAAACACACACACACACACACACACACACACACACACACACACACACACA